CCTCATCCCACCTTCTACCTGTGCTTCACTAGTGACCAGAGCATCAGGCTATGGTTAAGGAGGTGACTTGGGGGCCACACAAATTAGGGTTAGAAGACAAGAAGCTCTGGTGGCACAGTGGTTAAAGCATTCAGCTGCTAACCAAAAGGTTGGCAGTTTGAACCCATCAGCCACTCTGTGGGAGAAAGATGAGGCAGTCTGCTTCTATAAAGATTGACAGCCTTGGAAACCCTATGGGGAAGTTCCACTCTGTCCTATAGGGTTGCAATGAGTCAGAACCGACTCATTGGCAGTAGACCTTGGTTTTGACCCAGCCATGGAAGGCCAAGGGCACATCCAGCAGAGCTCCCCCAACTAGTCCAATGCACATGCTCTTGGGTCCCCTTGATTTTCCTGACATTTCCTCTTTCTCCTGTGCTCTTTGGGGTGAGCTTCAACTGAAACATATAGCAGAAGAGTTAATAGCCCACAAACTGTATTGACAAGAGAATCCCCATGAAATCGTTTGGACTGGTCAAACCACTGCTCAGACACCTATGGTGGAATCACATGCTAACATGATTTCCCGCCCCCACCTCTAAAGCCTCAACTTAGCCCAGATAGTCCCAGGAGAAACAGGGGAGGAAGACAATGAAACGTTTTTGGTCTGAAGCCACCACATGTCCACTGGGTTAATGGCTTAGGAGAGGATGACAGCAGAAATATCCTGCCTGTGGCAGACCCCTGTAGAAGGAATGCAAAGGCTCTGCTCGGTTCCCTTTTTTGTAGTGAGGGACGGGGGTCAACAGCTAAATGCTGGTTGCTAACGCTTACTGCACCACATGAGAAGGAAATACACTTAGGCATCTCGGGTCCGCATGTTTCAAGTATACACTTTTATAACCAAGATGATTAAATTAAACCTTTAGATTTTCTCCTGCTACATTTCAGATGTTAATCATTCTTTGAAATAATAATAAAAGAGGTACTTTCTTTGAATCAATTAAACTCATTATGCTGTAAATTCAAATTCACCCAAACCCAAACCCACACTGCCTTTGAGTTGGTTTCAACTCATAGCGACACCCATAGAGTTTCCAAGGCTATAATAATCTCTACAGAAGCAGACTGTCTTCTGCTGAGGCAGCTGATGGGTTAGAATTGCAGACCTTTCAGTGAGCACCACCAGACATCTCTACTTCACCAGAGATCCTTAAAAACTAAAACCAAACTCACTGCTGTCCAGTCAGATCCAACTCATAGCGACCCCTCCTTGGGTTTCCAAGGCAGTATCACTCCAGAAGTAGATTGCCCAATCTTCCTTCCAAGGAGTGGCTGGTGGGTTTGAA